GAGGGAGCCCCATCTGCCCCGCAGCAGCTGCTACGCTCCAATTTTCTCTCATTGGAAACAGAATCTGGAATCAAAACTCTTTGTCTGGTGGTGTTGCCTGCACCTCCTAGAAGAGCAAAAGGTGGAAGGAGACATGCACCAGCCGGGACTCGAACCCGGGTCACAAGGTTGGAAACCCTGCCTGATGCCCCTACACCACTGGCACAGCTGTTGAGAGAGAAGCAATATTTATATCCAGGGTTTCTCTATTCCCATCTGATGGCGACAGAGGGGAACACACTGTGTCTTGTGACCAAGGTATTCAATTGCTGTCTAGCCAGCCCCAGCTATGGATGCTCAGGTGGGAGGAGCCGAGGGGGAGGCCTGTGCCAGGTCTCTGTGGCGCAATGGGTTAGAGCGTCTGGCTGTTAACCAGAAGGATGGTGGTTCGAGCCCGCCCAGGGACGGCCGCGGGCGCCCTGCCCCCTTGACGAGGTGGCCGAGTGGTGAAGGTGATGGACTGCTAATCCATTGTGCTCTGCACGCGTGGGTTCGAATCCCACCCTCGTCGGCACTTTTTCCTTCTTGGTTGCGGGATTTCAGGGTGAAAGTACCTTCCTCTGTATATTGGAAGGGTGAAAAGCTAAGCTGTGTCGCTATTTTTGCTGTCTCTGTGCTCCTTGTGAGGGAAAGTGTTGTTCCATATTCTTGTTTCTTTTTATCACTTGATTCTGCCGGTTGAATCCATCGCCCCTATATTCTTGATTAATGTCTGTGTGCTCCAGAGAAGCAGAACCATCAATCAGGGCACTTCTGCAACTGCCTAGTGGTCTCACATATTTAGAAATCATTTTTTTTATATAGAAATAGTCCTTGACTTGCAACAGTTCCATTTCGTGACTGTTCGAAGTTGCAACAGCACTGAAAACAGGACCGTTTTTCACACTTACGACCCGTTGCACCATTCCCCCATGGTCACATGATCAAAATTCGGACGCTTGGCAACTGACTCATATTTATAATGGTTGCACTACTCTGGGTTCATTTGATTCTCTTTTGCAACCTTCCAACAAGCAAAGTCAATGGAGAAGCCAAATTCACTTAACAACCTAGTTACTACGTTAACTGCAATCATTCACTTAATAGCTATGGCAAGAAAGGTTGTGGGTGCTTCATCACTGAAGGCTTTTAAGAAGAGACTGAACTTATCTGGAATGGTATTGGGCAGGGGTCGGCAACCTTAAACTCTCAAAGAGCCACAAAGGTTCTAACCGGAAGTCCCCCATTCAGTTCTGGAGCAGACTGAAAGTCCGGTTCCCCCACCATAGAGTCACCTTCTAGTGCAGCGTCCTTTTT